GGTCTGCCCCTATAAAAAGAGGCAGTGAAGACAGACCCAGTGGGACACCTTCTCCATCTGGAGCAGCACCATGCCACACCACCTATCCACCCAGAGGCCCTGCTGGCAGCCCCCCTCTGGACAATACCTACTGGACAAGGACCCCTTTCCAGCCTGGATAGGTAGGTATCACCCCCCACTCCCTCTTCAATCAAGGACTTGGACTCTGCTTCTCTTCCCCACCTGGACTCCAGCTCTTCCACTGAATCTCTTTCTTGTGCTGCCACTGTGAGTGCTTGTGTGTGTGTACGTGAACCAATAACTTCATGGGGCTGTGTAGTGTGTTGTCTGTGTAATAAAACTGTTATTTGGACCCCTAAGTTGGGTTTTACTTTACTATAGTTTGGCCCTGCTCCTTATCTCTGCTCTGCACCCCTCTAACTTCTGTCTCATTTCTCCCTCTCCTGCTTCTGGCTCACCACCACCTCCAACACCTGTCCTGAGCTCCTCTCTGCCTCCAACCCCCCTTGTTTCTTTGCTACTGTCTTATCTCCACTGCCTTTTCCTTTTCCCCTGAGCAACCAGGTTTCTGCCTCAGTTTCTTTCCTGGCTGTCTCCTTGCCACCACTTATCTGCCCCCCCCCACCCACTATCTCAGCTGTCTGCCTCAGTTTCTAGCCCCAGTCTACCTTTAGTAAACCCAAGGCTCAGTTTCTCAGCCAGCTTCTCAGTAGCCCACCGGATCTAATCCTGGTTCTAGCTGCTGTCACTCCCTACCCTTTAACTCTCTCTCTCACCTGAACCTTCCCCCAAGTATCCCAGGTACCCCAAGCACACACATACACACTGTACCATCCAAGTTAGGAACTTACCTGTGTGTATGCGTAGGTGGGTTGTATGTGTGTGAACTGGTGAGTGTGTGTGTGTATATATGTATATATAAGGCATTGTGTGCATGATATATGAATTGGTGATCTGTGTCTGACTTTTGGGGTGTATTGTGTATGTGCTTGAATTGGTGATAGGTATGCATGTGCCTAGGCTGGTTTGGATGTGTATGTGCCTGAGCTGGTAGTGTGTGTGTGTATGCACCTAATTGATTTGTGTGTTTGTATATGTGCAATTGTGTCACACCCTCCTGTCTAAGTGCAATATTGAGATCCTGAGAGATGGCCTGACCCCACAGGGCTACAATACCACTGCCCTGCCCTGCCCAGCCCAGCCCAGTCAGCCTGTGGGCACTGCCTTGAGTTGGAACAAGAGACATGGTGCTGGTGATGCTGCCTCTTTCCTCAGCTGCCTCCTCCATCCTCACTTGTTTGATGCTCTGGTGGGCTCTTATTGGCTAGAAAATAAGAACAAGCCTGTGATTTTCCATCCAGGGTGCACAGGCCTGTTCACCCAGCAGAACCAGAACCTCTGGGGATCCTCATGGGCCAGACAGGGCTGTAGGCTGCACCAACCTGCTAGGGGATGGAAGGAGTCAGGCACTGGGCTGAAGCCTGCTCCTTGGCACATGGGGTTAATGGCTGTGAGAAGGGATTGGAGATACGGGACTCAGCCTGGGGCTGAGAGCAACCCCTGTCACATGTCACCACATGCGACTCCGGGCCATGATGGGAGCCCATGCTCCCCATGGCCCTTTGGACTCAGAGTGCCGGTGCCTTTCCCTGTCCTGGATGACCAGAGGGGATGTCCTCAAACCAGTAATCATCCCTTGCACCTGAAAACCAGTGGCAGGAAGCTCAACCCAAGAGGACATCTGCTCAGACAGGGCAACACACCTGGGCAGAGCACCACAGCCCCTGCATGCCACCATCCTGGCCCTGGCCTGCATTTCCTGGCCTGCAAACTCCTACCTTTGAGCTGCAGCTCCCTGCTGGACTTTGGCTTTTTCAGGGCCTCGTGCTCCACATGACATTGGTAATCAGTCACACCATCCTCGGGCCCCACCGTGGGGAGGCTCAGCTCAGAGTCTACACTGTAGGACTTCCTGTCCGGCACACGGCTGGGGGTGTGGGTCCTGTGTTGTGGTGGGGGTGAGCTCTCCAGTGGCCTGGGCTCCTTCCTTCTTTCTCTCTTTTGCAGCCAGGTCATTGCTAGCTGCCTGGGGTACAACTGTGATAGAAGGCCCTTCAGGGACATTGGCTCTCCAGAGACTGGGGCCTGTGGATGGAAGACCTCCCCCAGGTCTGGAGGGGGTGGATGGCAACCTGCAACAGGTGGAAACGGCATGTCAGCAAGCCTCCCCTGTCTCCAAGTGCTTGGCACATGCTCACCTGCTGCCCTGGCCAGTCTTAGCCCAGCTCCTGGCAGCATCTATTGTGGGCTCCCATCACCCAGCTAGTATGGCCCCGGGCACCAACTGTTGCAGACAGCCTCTGGGAGGGCCTGTTGTAAGTGGTCACACAGTGCCATGGGGTCACAGACCCTCTGGGCTGGGCTGGGTGACAGGTGGTTCTGCTCCCCTATGGACCACCAAGACATCACACCTACCAGTGCAGCCCAGGATGCCATCAGCCTTCTTGCCATCAAGGGCACACTGCTGGCTCATATTCGTCTTCTTGTCCCATCACCCCCAGGTCCTTTTCTGCAGAGCTGCTGCCCAGCCCGTCACCCCCAGCCTGCACCGGTGCAGGGGATTGCTCCATCCTAAGTGCAGGACTTTGAACTTGTTCTTGTTGACCCTCATGAGATTTCTTTTGGCCCAAACCTCCAACTTGTCTAAGTCACTGTGAATCCTAGCTCTACCCTCCAGTGTATCTACTCCAGTGTATCCTAGCCCCACCCTCCAGTATATCTACTCTCCAGACAGGAGATGGCTTGGAGCTGGGGAAGACAGTCTGGGCTCAGGAGAGTCCCCTGACACATCACTGCTAGGAACTCTGGGCCTTGACAGAACACCTTGTTCCCCACAGTCCCTGGGACTGAGACCACTTGTTGCCTCCCCCTGTCTGCCCAGGGTGTGTGGGTGGGTGTTCCCAAATGGCCCAGAAATAGTTGCTGTGGAGGAGAACCAGTGGCTGCAAGCTCAGCCTGAGGGGGCATCTGCAAACAACTACAGGAGGGAGCAGCATGTCAGCATGCAGACCTTGTACCCTCACACCCAACGCATGCTCGCCCACTGCCCTGGCCAGCCTGAGCCCAGCAATGCAAAAGCCTCTACCATGGGCTCCCCTCGACCACACAGTTCAGCCCTGGCACCTCCTGTTGCAGACACCCTTCGGGATGTCCTATTGCGAGGTGTCAGGCAGTGCCATGGGGTCACAGTCCCTGTGGGCTCAGTCAGGTGACAGGCAGGTCTGCTCCCCTATGGACCCACCACAACCAGAACCAAAGCGGGGCCTGTGAAAAGGCCCCTTTTCCCAGATCAGCCACTGGGCCTGTCCCGTCCCCCACCGCTTACCACTGCTCCTCTCGATGGGGGTCTCCAGGGTGAGGTGTTCAACATGGCAGATGTACTCTGACCCCTGGTCCCTGGATGTCCAGCGGGTGAGTCTGGTCTCCTGCTGGAAGCTCTTCCCGTCCCGTGCCAGGACGGCCGTGCCGGGCTCCACCCTGCACTCAGCTGAGTCGCGCAGGATCACAGCAGTGTCCTCCCCCTTGCCCCTCCGCAGCCAAGTCACGCTCAGCTCCCCCGGGAAATGCCCCGCAATGCGGCAGCTTAGGGTGACTCCCTTCCCCGTGGCCATGGACTTGGGCTGGGAGATTTCGGACACATCCGGGGGCCGCAGGAGACCTGGGGAAGGGAAGAGGCAGAGGCAGGGACAGGCCCCGTCAGGGGACCCACAGCCTGGCAGGGGCTGCTCCCCGGCCCCTCACACACCACACAGACCCCACACCCCTGCAGCGGGGCTGGGACCCCAGGACACGGCCCCTCCTCACCCGCGGCCCTCAGGCTGAGCTCTCTCTCGCTCGGGGGCTCTCCGGGGCCGTGCTGGACGCACACTCGCACTCGCAGCTCCGGCCGGGTCAGGCTCCGGCTGGGCACTCTCCAGATGCTCGTCGCGGTGAACGTGCCGTCCGCGTTCCTGTCTATCTGCGCGGGATCTTCCCTCCAGCTCCCGGCCCCGTCCCAGCCCCACTGGATCAGGGGCACCTCCCTGGGGTAGAAGTTGTGGAGCTGGACAGCAAACGGCACCTTGTCGCGGGGGTCCCACTCCGGCAACACCTGGATCTCAGACACCTGCGGCCGGGCTGGGGAGACAGTGTGGGATGTTAGTACAAGGGACAGCTGGGATTTTGCCTGGGGATGATGGATAGTTGGGCCGCCCACAGAGCTGGGTGGGGCAGGGACAGTGCAGTGAGGGTTGGGTGAGTCCTGCTCATGCCAAAAGCTGATCCATGCCCAGCTCCATCCCTCCAGGAGAGCAGCAGACTGACCACACCTGGAGATGGTGACAGGGGCTCTGGCACTCACCCCAAACCCGGATCTCCGGGGACACTCGCTCCTCTCGAATCCGTTTGGCCTCGTGGAGGAAGACGCACCGGACCCCTCTGCATTGTCGCTCTCCAGCCCGGGGGGAGGGCGGGGAGCAGCGGCTGGTGCTCGGGGCTCTCTTGGTTCCTAGCGCTCTCAGGCACTGTCCTGTCCTCGCTGCAGATTCTCTCCCATGTCACGGCCACATCCTCGGGGAACGTCCCCTGCATGGAGCAGTGCAGGATCACCTCCTGGCCCAGCAGGCACCGCTCTGGCACCCGCACCTCG